ACAATTCCTGTCCCCTAAAAATGAGAAAAGGGTGCAAGACCTGAATTTATATTAATATATGTCCTAGATAGTTTAACAATTAGAAACGTCAAATAAAAAAGTTAGCCTGTAGACATGACTAACACAAAGTAATCATATTTGTCATTATAATCACAGCCTGCTGCTCTGAAAGAGAGATACGGGTAAGTAACTTACTTCTGTAGTCATGGACTGTGAAATTTGGTTTGTTGGAAACCTCAGGGGACAGTCTGAAGGAAAACCTTTGCCCAGCTGGTGACAAATCTTTGTCTGCTGCAGTGATAGTCTGTATCACCTGAAACCAGATTAAGATTAATTCTGAAGTCAGTTCACTCTTCTAAAGGAAACAGTTTAGTAGAAGCATAAAGTGAACATCAAATGAAACAATGAACGTGAGATCTGGCCGGATTACTCTCATTCCCCTAGTATACTGGTCAGTGGAGGCAAGAAGTCTGAACACTATAGCCTCCAGGTGGCTCATGATGTCTCAGAAGGTCTTGCTTTGACGCATCTGAAGGAAATTAGAAAGATTTACCTTATATTCATAGTGGAAGTATTTAATATTTGTCTTTTGTATCAAAATACTACTAATTGTTTTAAGGTGAGTGATTGACTTTATCTGCTGCTACTACTATTACTGTTAGGACCGCTATATGTTGTAGAACTTCGCAAAGCTACACCCTAATTTTACAGCTTGAAATGAAGTAGAAAGGGTTGAAAGGTCTGCACCATCAGATGTGAAAGGAGCTTTTGGGTCCCAGAGTCATATCTACTAGATTTCAGCTAAGCACAGTGTAGTTAAAGTGTTTCATAGTAGGATTGCCACTGACCTTTTTAAAAGGAAGGCATTTTTTATGTAACAAAAGTCTAAATATTTATAATTTTTGACAGCCCAGTGCTTGTCTCAGTCTCCCCTGTAAAAGGCTCCCCTTTCTACTGTTAGTGCCTGGATAAGGTACTAACTAAAGGTATCTGATAAACTAGAAGTTAAATTAGGTTATATGGTAGTTAGTTGAAAAATTAAAAAAAAAAAAGAGATAGGAATATCAAATGATGTCATGGACAAATCTGTAATAAAGGCAATAAAAATCACATGGACTGATTATGTATTACGTACATATAAAGAGAAGTAACTGATTACATAGAAGGCTGAATATGTTACTTCCATGGCTGGCAGTAACTCTCAAAGTTGAACAGTTGAAGTTACAAGTCTTGTCTTGGAAACAGCTGTTAATATGTATGATGGTCAGCCTTGGGGCTGTGCAGCACTGTGTTTAATTGCACAGACCTTGTGCGGAAGGAGCACATGCCAACAGCTTGTGGGGCCGCTATATTAATACTGGTATCACTCATGGTAAGAGGTGATATTCTGAATCTGAAATAGGTTTTGCATGCTATGTATGTATTTGAAACTGCTTATAAAAACAAGCTATCAGGAGGATTGTCTTTAGGGTTGTGGGTTCTGTTTCTCAGAATAGGACAAAAAAATGTATGTAATCCATCTTACTCCATTTATTCACTGCAGTTTTACCCTTATATTTAAGTGTCTTTAAGGAAGGGATTCTTTCTCGTCATAGCTATTAAATGCACGATGAAGGATGGCTTAGGCCTACATAATCAGAGATAATAAAAATAAATAGACCATAAACAGACCGTAAAAGTCAAAAAGCAGAATTCTAAAATGTATTTCCAATGCAGACATTTTATTTGTTAAAGAATTCTAATCATGATGTCATTTTCAAACCCAGAAAATCCTGTTGCTATAAATAAGAAGGAAAGGAAAATCAAAATAGCAAGCATTACAAATTTGAAATACCTGTCCTGGTTTCGCGTTTTCACATACAGATGTCTCATATGGAACTGAAATTTCAGGAGGAAACTCGTTGACATCCAGAACATTTATTATAACGTTGACTTTGCTGGTTAATAGTGGGTTACCTATAAAAGATTTTTAGGAGAAAAGAATTAAGGAATACTATTTATGTTTGTTGTCATCATCAGTGCCTATGAGCTGTAATAAACTCTTTTGATTCCAGTACTGTGACTTCTTAAAGACTTTGACTTCTGTTTATTTCTGATTCGTACTAAGGAAAAAAATCAGAAAGCAAACTTCTAATTTTGTGCCAGACTTTGATCCATTACTCTTCATGGAGTAAGGAATCAATCAACATTACTATGTTTATCAGAGCATAAATTAAAGAATTTGAAATTGTACCTGTAATTAAAGATGCAAACTTTCTCAGATCGCTTTTCATGGAGTCTGTGGAAAAATGCTTCCAATGATTAAAAATTAATTCTGTTTTCCACAATGGAATGGAGAAAATCAATATTTATTGCTTAGCCACTGTTTACATCTTCAAGATATTAAGGACGTAAGTGGAGCATACCCATTTAGAAGATGGAGAAAAGTAAGAACCAAAGGTACAAAGAAAAATCTTCCTGAAAGCCAGACAGAGTCAGTGATAAATTTAGCAGTGAAACATGTAGAGCTAGCATTCAACTTGTGGTTAAACCATTAGGCTATGTTATAACAGTTATTTCTTCAACTGCATAAGTATTTGCAAGCAGCAAATACTTTTGTGCAAAAGAAATTACAAAAAACTGTACACATTATGCTTCTTTCCATTGTCCTACCAATGCAGATAATCTTCATCAGTCGCTAAATGCATTTTATAAACAAGTTCACCTGTAAATACAATATCTGACAGAAAGGAGACAGAAATGCAATACAAAGCAGACAATATTCTCTTTTACTTTATGCTGAGACCCCTTGCAAGACAGCAGATAGATACATAGAAAACAGTTTAGCTGGTGAGTCAAAAGGATAATTATTTTATCCTTTTGCATTTCAAGAAGAGTGGCAGCCACGATACAGACATGGTTAACTATTAAAGGAATCATATGAATCAGGGTGGTGTAGGGGTGACAGCATGGGGTCATGGTTAAGTACAAGAACAGTTTTCTTGAATCTTAGCTGCTTACTCTGTAGTTTGTATAAACCTTTGCATTTCTGTTCTTTATAACTAACACAACAAGGGGCAAAGTCTTTTCATGGTGGCACTGTAGAAATTTTACATGATTTCGTTCTTGTCCTTGACCTACTAAATGAAATGTTTGCAGGAGGACCCTGTCAAAGCCAAAAGGTATTTCCCAATGGTTTCCTAGTTAAGTAGGACTAGCTGCAAGTAGAAGTGTGCTTCACCTGTTTACAAGTAGTGGATAAACTACAAACTCAACTTGGAATCTAAAAAAGCCCCACCACAAAATCCACTATCCATATCACACCATATTTGTAGTTCCTTCCTATGAACATATCTAATTAATAGTGACCATATCTAAGAATATCTCTTTTGATCCTCATTCATTTCCAGTTCAGCATTATCCCTATTTGCAGAACGTCTCTGTGGATAAAGGCATTGTGCCATATGAATGGAAGCAGGGTTTGGTCTAGCAGTTGGGAATTAGGCAGTTGTTCTTCAGATGCTCGAAGAGCCAGAAGAGATCTAGATTGCTTGTTCACGGTTGAATTGGTTGCTTTGTATAATAGGAAACAAAAAAGTACTAAGATGTTATTTTAGTCAGTAGAGGGCAGAACTCTGACTCTGAATATATAGACAGAGATCAGAAAAGCCCTGAGTAGGTCAAGTTCATACAGTTACTGGCAAAAACAACCTAACTTGAAACTTCCCTCCTAGCGGTACCCACTGCAAAGAACGCAGCAACTCACATGCAGTAATTCAGTTTTTAGTTAGTTTTTGTACGTTTATTTTAAAGTACAACACTGAGCGACAGGAATTCAGGATACATTCTTCAAACACGTTAGAGATTAATGTGTTGCCATGATGAAAATACAGGCATAAATATTTGTTTCCTTTTAAAAATACTTTAACACTGCCTTTCCAGTAAAAGAATGAATGTATTCAAAATTTATGCATTATGTATATGGGAGATATTATCTGATTTTGATTATTTCTATTAAACAGATCAGTTTCTGTAATAAGTCTTTTTAAGTTATATTTTTTTGAAGTATTTTACATAAAACATCATTTCAGCTCTTTGGAACAGTGTACATATTATGGGACTGTATATTTTTAAAACGAACAAAGGGATTTGATATTTTGCCTTCCTCAAAATCACAATAGGATAATATACTTTGGAAATATACATGAATATGAGTATGCTTTTTATATTTATGTCTCACTGATGGTCTGTGATTTATTTTCTGTGATTCTTTGAAAGATATATTAGATGCCAAAATCTTTTCTTGCTAAGTATTTTGGCAAGGTAGAATTCTACCTTGCATAAATGGTCAACAAAAATCAATGATGAAAGTAAACAGAATTACTACAACATAAGATGGACCTGCCTCTGGGTTTCACTTTATTTATGTGATTAATTTTCTTTCTGGTTTGCACTGATATCAGTTCACTCATGTATATAAAGGAAGACTGCAAGAAGCTTGCTTACAGATTTGAATTCATGTATAATTACAAAGACCTGTAATACTTGATGTGAATGAGGATGAAGAATTGCATTTCAAAAGACCACTTTGCAGATTTGATCTCCATTTTCTCTGGTTTTGTTTTGTTTGCTGTTTGTCTCAAAATCCAATCTTTTGGAGCCCTGTGAACACAGTAGTGACATGCATGCTGTCATCAGTGAGTGAGTCACTATAAACATCTGCTCATGCCTTTTAAACCCAGATTACAGAGATGAAAAGACAAGTTGGTTAAATCATTAGCCTAGGAATTAAGAAACTGATTTCAGGTTTCAATTCTGCCTGTAAGATACAAGCAAATTAATTAGCTTCTTCCTTCCTCAGTTTTCCTGTCTGTAAGAGTGACAACCCTGCTTCCTTCTTTTGCTCAAGTACAAACATCTGCTAACATCTTCATAGTTCAAGGATATTACAGTACTAGAAAATATATAAAAAACTTTGATTAATGAACTTGTGAAAAATCTGAGATATGTGAGAAAACAGATACTGACCACTGAGGAGAGCTGGTGATACCTTAATCCCCATTATGGTATGCAGGAGAAGATAAACCCCATCTTGAGATTTAAGCTGAGGTTTCTTTAACATTCACAAAATGTGGGCCTAGAGTTAGAGGAGTCTATTTTCAATGTTAACTAGTGCCTTGAGGATGGGACAGCAGAAATAAGATCTTACGCTTTTTATCTATTTTCTCTTTTGTAAGATGCAGAAACCGTTTCCATACTAGATAATTAAGCAGCACACTGGGGAACTTTTTGAGCACTGGAGTACGTTTTTTTATACCGTTAAGTTCTTACAGCAGTTCTTAGCACAGTTTTGGCCTGGGACAACTAGTGATCTTGAGGACAATTCACATGCATGTACTGGGAATTTGTATGGGCAAGGGACCACTCAAATTAATTTACATGTGGGCAATGTTTGGAAGGTAAATGTTTAATAGCTACTCAGTGCCAGCTAGCCTTTGTGCTTAAAGTGAATGCAAGCCATGTTTCATCTATTGGTTTGATAGAGTCTGTGGGAACAAAAATGTTCAGAAACAGCAACCTCGAAGGCCACTAGGGTGTTGATTTACTCTGAGAAGACTAAAACCTGTAATGAAATATAGTCAGGGAGCGAAAAGAAGTATGGAGAAATCGGGAAGTGAAATAGAGGGAAAAAAGTGTGAGTCTGGAACATCCCCCCCCGCCCCCGTTCATAGGCTTTGCTCTATACAAAGGCTGTATTTCTATGGATGGCTAAGGGACCTTCTGCTTTCAACTGCCTTCACATGTGTCATAGAATCATACAATAGTTTGGGTTGGAAGGGAGCTTTTAAGGACACCTAGTGCAAACCCCCTGCCATGAGCAGGGACATCTTCAACTAGATCAAGTTGCCCCCGTCCAACCTTACCTTGAATGTTGCCAGGAATGGGACATCTAACATCTCTCTTGGCAACCTGTGCCAGTGGTTCACCACTCTCATTGTGAAAAATGTCTTTCTTATGTCTAGACTAAATCTGGCCTCTTTTAGTTTAAAACCATTAGCCCTTGTACTATCGCTAGAGGCCCTGCTAGAAAGTCTGTCCCCATCTTTCTTATAGGCCCCCCATAAGTACTGGAAGGCTGCAATAAAGTTACCCTGGAGCCTTCTTTTCTCCAGGCTAAGCAATCCCAACCCTCTCAGCCTGTCCTCATAGGAGAGGTGTTCCATCCCTTTCATCATTTTTGAGGCTCTCCTTTGGACCCTCTCCAACAGGTCCATGTCTTTCCTGTGCTGAGGGCTCCAGAGCTGGACACAGGAGTCCAGGTGGGGTCTCACCAGAGTGGAGTAGAGGTGCAGAATCACCTCCCTCAACCTGCTGGCCATGCTTCTTTGATGCAGCCCAGGATACGATTGCCTTTCTGGGCTGTGAGCACACATTGCCAGTTCATGTCCAGCTTTTCATCCACCACTACCCCCAAGTCCTTCTCGGCAGGGCTGCTTTAAATCCCTTCATCCCCCAGCCTTCAACCCCAGTCATCATACATGGGTCAGCAGAACAATCATCCACCTCCCACTTAAAAAGTTCTCTACTTTGGGACAGGCTTCTTTAACGAGAGTGAGAATAAAATTATGGTGTATTCTGTTAAATATGACAGTAGGCTATCTATCCATCACTCCATGCTAGGTGCACCTCTGAGATGTTCTCAACAGTCAGTTGTGCTGCTATCTGGGGACAGATTCCCAGTCAGTGTTTAGATCAGATGTTTGGAATTTTTTCAGGGTTATAAATAAAGATCACGGTATAATGATACATGGTCCAAACTGATCATTGCATAACCTGGGTAGGATAACTTTGCTTATCTCAGTTCCCTATGTGGAACCAGCAGCTACTGTCCTTATGCAAGATGTACTGTGTTATTGCTGCGTAACCAGGACTTCCCTGGCTGTGAGTGTACAAGTTGACGCAAGCAAACCTAGGACAAGCAGATTTCATAATTAACTGTTTGCTAATGGTCCAAGTTCTGCCTCTCTGCCAACCTGTACCATGTCTGTTGTAGTCAGGGATGAAGGGGCAGCACATGTAGTTTAGGGAAGAATGATCTCAATATGTATATATGTGTATATATTGGTATGTCAAATAAATGCAGAATGAGGACACCTGACATTAAACCATTTACAAATTCCCAAACAACCAGGCTTTTGAACAAAACTTTTTTTTTTCTACGCAATAAGTAATGTCACTAAAAGTTACTTTAATAAACACAAGGTAATTATCTTCTGCCTCATTTTTGAAATGTATTTCTTTAGAACTTGTAACTTCTGGTGCTTTAGTGGTAATAATAGATTTATCAACCTGTAAGAAAAGATAAAATGGTATATCCATATATACATTTATATTTATCAATTGCTTGCTGCTATATTAAGCTATCTAAACTGCATATAATATTTTGAAAGGTCACTTAATCACTCAGAAGCCCTAACATTATGTCAAGGTTTTACTGGGTGTGAGAAAAAAAGTAACACAAGCATCATCTGTGATTCATACAGGGTTTCATTCTGAAGCTAGAGAAGAACAAAGGACAACAATCACTAGAAGGCTCCAGGGCGAAGGCACAGGCAGGGAGTCCATACAGGCCTGCTCATGACCTTGGCATCATTTTCCAGATATAGGGGAATGATGCAAAAGCTGGTTTAATTTATTTCTTTCTCTGACCTGATAGGATAAAGTTGGTGGGCTTTGTTTATAATTGGCCTGTTCAAGAAAAGATAATTTGCAGGATGACCATTAGGACGTGTCTAAAAGGTGGGACTTTGTTGTTGTTCTCTCACAGTGAGAAAGCAAAATACATATTTTAGCAATAAAGTTTTTTTAAGTAACACAACTTATGACTATAACACAATAATATGACTATTAGTAGTTTGAAGTTTGTTTATTTTAAAGAGATAAGGTCATGTAGAACTGCACATATTTAGGTAACAATAGTGTCCATTCCTGAGGCAAGTTTATGCAACTAATTACAATACTGGAATTAGGAAATCATGTCTATGTGAAGGCACTCTTCCGTGCACTTTTTCTCGTGTTAGAGATGGCAGTTTCAGTGTTTCCACATCATCACTGAACAAGTGGCATACTTCAAATATATTAATTTTCCCCCCCTCTTTTTCTTCAGATGTTTTCTTCTCTTCTCTCTAACCACTTTTGATTGTGTGCAGTGTGTCAGCCCTCAAACCTCAGCCTTTATTTCTGTGTTAGCTCTTAGTCAGAGAATTGCACATAAAATTTTGACAATTAGTGTACCTCAAATCCTCCAAAATACCGCCAGTTGCTGGTGTAGTACAAGTATGGCAATTGTTTTTACTGCTAGGGGTAATGGTTAATGTATAAATATTTTGAGGCATGCTGAAATGAATCACAAATATGTCTTAGGCGTAGATTCTTAATTAGGTTAATTGTTAAAATTAGGAGTTTCATAATATAGCCCACATGCTACAGCTCTACATAAATATGATATTACTATATATGTGCCAGGAAGGTGCATAGACAAGTAAACTTGGGGGTTTTAATGAGCTTTAAGCACTCTTGGGAATAATAAACAGATTCACACCAAGTTTACTAAACTGCTGCCTTAGTGCATAAAAAAATTTACAAATCTCAAATGTTCTTTGTCCACCAAGAAATCTAAATAGTTAAGTTTTACTGAAACAGACCATTATGAGACCTCCCCTCTGCAACTACCTGCCTTTCAGTTTCTCTGGAAACAAATTACAGTTCTGATGGACTTTCTGTCAATACACACATGCAGATGTATCTCCATATACTCAATCACTTGTGATAGTGTCCTCTGTTAGTGTATTCCTTTTCCAAGGTACGGATAAAATATAAATGTTCATTTGACTGGTGTTCTCATCATATATTCAGGTTCCAGGGAGCAAGCCCATTGTTCCTTTTGAGATAACTACAACTGAGAATTTATTTTTTATTTTAAATAATGTATACCTTCTCTGCTTCCAAAATCTCCCTCTTTCTGCTAGTATCATGTATTACTTTTTGAAGACTCAGTGCCAAGCAATATATTGAGGAAAACATGTTCTTTGCTTTAGAAACTTGAATTTCTAGACACATAAACAGTACAGAATGAATGGGAAATACAGCAGGGGTCCTCTTCTACAGCCTGTTGATGTCAACAGAAAAACTTCTGTGGCCTTTACACAACCACTAAGTGACCAAAAGTCTTGTATTCAAAGGGTGGTATATCCATACAAGAGTTTTGGTTTGACAGGCTCATAAAGGAAGAATGCTACACAGAAGGATGGCAATGAAGAAAGCTGCAGCTACATAATAATAGGAGGAGGGACTTCTTACCAAAAAAAAAAAAAAGGTATGTAGGAGAAGACACAAAGAAAAGAAACAAGTGATTAGGCAGAAAGTCGGGTAGAGAGAAAACACAAGAGCAGAGATGAAGCATACAGATTCATGTAGGGCCTTACATCTTGACTCAATTTTAGTGTACTAAACTAGTATGTAGTCTGAGAATCAGACGAGTCTTTAAATTTTTCTGCCTTCAAAAAGCAGATTGACAGACCTGTTATTTGACTGGACTGATTTATAGTAGGAGTGAATTACAAAATCAGAAATAAGAATTGGAAGGTCTCCATAGAGCTCCTCATGCTCTCCGTATTGACAAAATGTTTTTGAGTTTCTGAGGGAATTGTGCCTACATGAGGGGTCCTAGAAAAACCTCACTATTCATGTTGTTTGAACATCACACTTAGACTCACAGTGAGTCTGGCAAAATTATATTTATTGGGCCTTCTTAGGTAATCTCTTGGCAATACATGCACTTTTCAAAACATATTTATGCCTGGGCACTACATTCTGAAAAAAATACCATATTAGTATATTAATTAACTCAGTTTGTGTCATACTTACTAACTTTACTTGCAATTATAGAGAAATTGTACTGCGCTGTGCTTTCTCTATCCAGTAATTCATTGGTAGCAATGGTTCCTTCAGTAGCATCTATTGTGAAGTAGCTGTCCACATCATTCTTCCAATCAATGAAGTATCTGTATGTGAAAAATATTAAACAAAGTAGATACAAATGAGTAAAGATTACTCATTTATCATAACAGCAGTCTAGCTAGCTCAAGTTTTGTTATTTTTCTCTTCCCAGCTAATAGCATCATTGCAAGAAGAAGACAATAAAGAATTATTTGTTTGTTTATTTTTTTCAGAGTTGGAATGCTCAAAGAAAAACGCTATATAATAGAAGATTTAGTACTTCTGGTGTTCAGATTATTTGAAATCCTTGAGTTCCCAAGAACCTGATACATAGCTTCTGTGACCTTGATCACTTATATCATCAGTCACTTTGGAAAGCACTAGATAGGCTTAGAGGGAAGAAGAGAAAAGATATGTGAAATATCTTTATTTTAAGGTATGAATAACAATGACGAGTGGATCAGATCTGGTCTCTTTACATCCGTTTGTAGCTGCAATAGGCTGGAAGTGGCCTCACGGGGCTTGCAAAGAGGTGTCTTAGTGCATGTGTACAGGCTGTTGGCACAGTCCTGTAGGTCACTCACCTAAGGCATGTGGGAAGAGTAGCAGTATGGACAGGTGGAGAAGATTGTGCTTATTTGCCCACATATATAAGAGCAACAAAAGGCTCTTTGCCTTTGGGAAGAATAGGCAACTTTGACTTTCACTGGAGCTGTGAGGAATGGGGAAATACTTTTTTTTTTTTAATTCTCCTGAAACTTAGTCAAAAAGTATGAACATAGAACAGATTCAAAACTCAAAATGTGTACTTATTCGTTAGTTTTCCCTAGCAAGAAGTTAATAGAAAGCAGAGATGTGACTGTAAACATAGCTGCTTAAAAGCAATCTGATAATTATTCTAAACCCATTTCCCTTAAATGCTAATTAATTTCAAAGTCTATTTTCACATTTGATGCTACTGTTTGTAGTCAGAACAGAATAATAATTTTTCTGATGCAGTGCCGCCAGCTACTAATTTCCTTTTCATTGTTAGTCTCTTCATACCTTAATGATGTTTCTCAAAAACTAGGCAGGATAAAATTGAGAAAGCCATTTGTGAGCAGTAGGCAATAAGAACAAAATGACACTCAACAACAAGTACATTTAGAAGATCATAAAGACCTATTACACCTCATTGCATGTAAACCAGTAAGCATAAGAATAAAAGCTAGTATTTCCTTCTCTGTTTAGTGTGATTTATGGAAAAAATATATAGGGAATGTAATGATAAACACTATGGTTACTGCTGTAGAAGGAGGCAATGGTAGAAAAGGGTATGTGGCATATTCTCGAAGAAAATATCTCAAATTGGGACTCAAGAATGTCAATAGCTCAAGAAGACTTGAATTGTAAAAAAAATCACAAATAAGGTACCATGCTCCTTTGGAGACATTTTGTTTAATCAAAATCACAAAAAAAATCCTATCTGTAGATGAAATAGCTTATTTCATCAACTGACAAGCATCATTACCAGTTCACTGCTTTATTTGAAAAGCTTCAGAAATCATTTGCTAAAGGTAGCTTGTATCCTTTTACACAGCTGAGCAGGCACATTTTCTTGAATATGATAATATTGTCTATCCACATTTGTAATTTCAATCTCATTTTTCAAAATTTGGTTGGCTTAAAAATTATGAAAAATATATAAGCCATTTATTAGAAATATCATAACACTGAGTCTTTCAGGAACAGTAAAATTACTTTTTCAAGCTTTGTATGTTTAATAGATTTTAATTTCTTCCAAAATTAAATATGCAGCCACACACACAAAAAAAATGGGATCAAAGCATGAGAAAGTAACTTTTCTTGTCTTTCCCCTTAGGAAGATTAGCTTTGTCTGAGTACCCTACACATCACAACATGAGCCAGTGAAGAGAGTACAGGACCTAATTCAAAGCACAGTGTAGGTGATAGCCCCCTTCACCAGGACGCTTGGAAATTACAGAAAGCATATTCAGTTTGAACACTGTTGTCTTTCAAGTTGAGTTCAAGCACAAATATTTGTAGGATCAGAATCTGATAGTCTATCTGCAAACATTCACACAGGTGATTAAGTTCATGCACAAGCCCAGTATGCCTATTCCTGGACGTAAGCATCAGCAGGATCGAAGTCCACAATAAGCACTGCAAGACTGGCACTACTCCTATGGATACTAATGTCAGAATTCCTCTTGGCTTCTGTGGAAGTGAGATCTGTGGGAATTGAACAGTTTGATAAAAACAGAGGTATAGCAGTTCTTCCAAATTCATTGTCTTTGGCTGTGTTAACACTGTGGAAATTATTATGTGAACTTTGTTAGCATTGTTAGCCTTCTTTGTATTTTTTTTGTATTTTGGCATTATGTTTAAAGGCATCCCTTCCTTCTCTTTCCATGTGCTACACATATGGTAAAATTATGGGTGGAACAGCCAGTCTTTTCAGCTCCTCTCATCCTAAGAAGCTATATATTCAATTAGACTACAGAGGGAAGATGAGTAAAAGGAAGTATTGGAGCTGTATTGCCTAAAATATATATATTTACAGGAAAAACTACAAACAAATAGTCATTTTTCCTCCTTTCATTGGTGGTCCATGTGCAGTACCCATGAAAACATATCTGCCAGAAGATCTTCTTACAGATAGCACTTCTGGACATAGTATTGTCCTGGATACTTCAGTAAGTCTGTAAGTCTTTGTAAAAGAGTGAATGGGACCCCATTTGCCTGCATTTCAAATGGGAAATTCTGGGTCATCCCAAAGGGAGGTCACTTTTGGGGGAGGCCCTAAAAGAACTGTAGTTTCCTTTTACAGCCCAAAAGCACTCTTTCATACAGTTTGACGCTCAATGTGAGATTCTTTGTAAGCAGCACGGCAACAGTTAGTCTCTTTCTAAGGCCAACAGTATTGCCTGAGCTCTGTCTTTTCCTTGGAAAAAATGCTTTCTAGAGCAGAAGAAATGGGAAAAGGGTCTCCAACCAAAAAAAATTAGTAACTTTTCAGACACAAACCCATTATCTGTGACATAAAGCCTAACATTTCTTGTTAGAGTGTGACACAAAGAGGAACACTGTTGAAATACTGGTATTAGGACAGCTGTCTAGATCTTCTAGTCATGGTTGAGCAGTTTCAAGCAACTGAGGTTAGTTTGTTTGACTGGTCAGAGTGCCTGCAAGACAGATTATGTATAACTGCACTAATCTCAAGAGGCAGCTTCCTCCTTGAAAAGTTAGGTGGAACTTGTTGACATAGGACACAGCAGTATTATTTTTCAGAAGCACCTGATCAGGTCTGCCTGGCAGCAATGAGTACCAGGACATTGGTATATAGTTCATATTCACTGACAGGGAAGAAATTTTTAACTATATGTCTCCCTGAATATTCTTCCCAGCAGAGAACTGTATTCCAGATTATATTATTGAAGGTGGGGGGGGGGGGTGTGTGGGGGATAATTGTAGAAAGATATGCCATTGCTAACATTGCCTGAGTCTTCTCAAGAATAGCTATATTTGTACATCAAGTAGGGTATAAGAGAGAGAATGGAAATATTTGGTTTATAAAAGAAAAGTCAAGTCTGCAGGACTCTCATCCAGAGCATTCACAAAGACACACACGGCCCTCTTTAGGAGCTCCAAGAATAATTTACATTCATCTTGGCTAAATGATGAGGCTGTGTGTAGCTCATGGGGTCTCACAGAGCAGTCCCTCAAAAGAGGGCTCGTCTTCTGTCAAAGAACGGAGGACAATGGGGAAGACTCTGTCGACTCTAGTTGCAGCACAGAAGATAGCCATGGAGCACTGTTAAATACATGAGTGACAGCAGATCACCCTTATGAGGATAACAGGAACTCTGAGCTGTCAACAGACAACTGTAGTTGCTTCAGACTGTTATACCATGAATAAAAAAACATTTGGTATCATGTAAAATATCAGATCTGTAGCTCATGATCCTCAGAGATAGCTAAGTGACTGACTTCAGAAGATACAGACTTAAGTGATTCGTCCCTTTTCTTATTAAATTACTTAGTGCCTCACTGCAAGGAGTATTCTCGAGTTAAAAAAGACAGGGGCAATATGAGCTCAGCATAACTGGAAATTAGGTGGTTGAATGTTATTGGCTTCTGATCATTATGCCTTCATGAAAAATAGACATTCCCTCAAAAATTCCTGTTGATTTTTTAGTTTGAGAAGGACAAATAACCTGGTTGCAGAGATGTTTTATTAAAATATCTCTGTCTCAACTTACACATTCCTCACTCTGCTACCTAGTGAGATAGAACACTTTTGAAAGAAAAATGTTGCAAGGAAAGGTGAGGGGTGGAATAACGATTTGCTGTACTGTGACAGATCACTATTTGTGTACGTGACCTTAAATTGTTTAAACTGCATTCACGTTAAGTTTTATTTAAATATTGAACTGCAGGTAAATGAAATTTAGAGTTTATGCCAACTTGAGACAGTTAAGACCACCCATCATATCAGAAATAATAGATAAGAACCTAAAAAATTAGAAACAGAAATGAAACGTAATAAGGTTCTGTTTGGTATTGTGATCAGTTAGGATTTTTTGTAATTCCAATACATATATAACTAAATAGATGAAAGAAACATGTAAAACAGGAGTGGCAAAAGGGGTGAGGTACTAGAAGAATACAAATAAGACTTTAGGTGTGATTTGACTACCTAAAAGTCCAAAGGAATTTTCATGAGTAGAATAATCATGTACTGTGGCTGGAAATGAATAGGTCTCTGCATATAACTAGGTGTCGAGAAAATGACACCTCTAGAACAGAATTTTGTCCTGGGCATCACATGACTAGATAGATATCAACAAATTGGAGGGAGTTGAGAGAAGAGCAAGAAAAATTGTCTTGAGTCTAGGCATTCTGGGTTATAAGGAAAGATTAAAATAACTAAAATATGTTTATCTTGCATAAGAGATGACAAAAGGAAGATGTGAGAATAGTCTACAGATAGCCGAAGGCTGTTCTTAAACACCAAGAAAGGAAAGGTATTATTTTGTTCAGGCCAGACAAGAGGAGGGGCAAA